CAAAAATGCTGATCGATTTTTTCACTTGACGCTTTGACAATGGAGAGCAGCCCCAGCTCTTCGAAACGTCAGCCAGAAAAGTCCCCCGATCCGGTGAGCAATTCATTCTCCTCACATTTGTGTGTATTCTTTTTATATTATTCGGTCGTTTAGATCGCTGGAAATTGTTTGCTAGTGCTAACCAAGTCTACTAGTCGATTTTGAACTTATTTCTCTGCCTCCTCGTATTTCTTTGACCCCATGAGATAGAATTCCTCCCAATGGACCCTAATCCAGTGCGCTTTCGTACACCGATACCTATTTAGTTTGTTGTAACATCGCAAATTTTAGATGCAGCAATTTTGCATTCCTCCTTCTATTAATCTCCACAGTCTAATTTTCCACAGCCAACTCTTCCTCTTTTATAAACAATTATGAGAGTAAACTGCATCTATGGAATATGCTCAGTTTACTTTCCATAATCGCGAGATAAGTCTTGTAAATACGGCCCAATAAATAACTACAGCCTTCGAGTTTTACACAGACGGTTAAAATAAATAAATAAAATAATTTTATTAAATACCCATCGGGTTGCCTTCCTAGCAAACAAAAATATATTTTCATCTGAATTTTAGACGAGGTAGGCAGAATCTGTACAATGTGCAATTTAAAGTTTCTGAATTAGTAGTCCGTAAAGAAAAATAATGCGCGAGCAGCGAAAACAGTCCACTCTAGAATAAAAAATGATTGGATTGATTTTACAGGCGAAAAACTTTTGCTCACGAAAGGAAAAAAGCGGGCAGGACCGGCCTGCATGTGGCGGTGTATAACGGATTATAAACGGGCATCGTCAAGGCAGAAGTAAATGTCAGCCTTTAGGGGTAAGTATGAGTAAAAGGCTCGAAAAAGACATAATCAAGGCAGAATTTATATGCCGGATGAGGCCATTCACGTAAAGGTGGCAAGATGAGAGGAACCTAGACGCGATTGTTCACTGTCCACTTCGAGTCCAGCCGGGGAGGGCCAAGGGAAATGCGATCAAACTAATAGTAGATGGCGAATGCAGAGGGTTCCACGATGAGCGCCGACAGGCCGCTTGCGGTCGAAGTGAGGAGATGAGCTCAAGAACCGCAAAATTCAACGCTGGGGTAGTGAGGGTTCGACATCGCGTGGACCAGAGCGGAATTCTGATGAGTGCTGGAGAGTAGCAAAACTGAAGGGGCTTAGAGCGTGCACGGAAACCTAGCCAAGCTATAACATTCAGAGAATTTGTCAGGAAGGATATCGTATTCCGTGAGGGGCACGATGCATGAACTGAAAAATCGAAAAAATTAACATTTCCGATGAGAGGTTCTCGGAGGCGATACTACACACAAAAGTTAGAAAAGTGAGCGTAGACGGAAATTTAATGGCGGCGTCCTAAATCCCCAGTGACCCTGCCTCCCTGTCATAGAGAAAGTTGTCCGATAATGATGAGGGAAACAGAAGTTTAATCGAGTCAGTATTCGAATAAAGGCGAAGCCTTCTCTTAAAACTGAGTAGATTATCTGAAGATCTTATATTTATTGGAAGGTTATTTCAGGGAAAGTATATCTGAAAGCGAAAAAAGAGGGTTTTTAGAGGTAGAGGAAGCGGAAGGAGGTAAAATCGAGAAAGAGTTGCGAAGATTGTTTGGGCGACTACCAGGAGTAAGTGCCGAAATCCGAGGAAGATTTGAACTACTATTAATGCAAAAGATGAGACAGACGCCTGCTTCTGGTCTTCGAACCCATATTAGGTTAGTTATCTGGCATCTATTTGAGTATGAGATATTTGGATGTTCCATGCCTAAAACGTTTCTAGTAAAACGTCTGTGGACATTTTTTATCTTTGAACGACCAGCCTCGTTCATCAAACCAGATAATGGGCAACAATCCTCGAGAATGGGAAGTACAAACATTCGGTAAAGTCTTAATTCAATTTTGGGAAGATAGAAATTGTAAGAAATAAAGCCAAAAATCTGGGTATTTTTGGCCGTAATTCTGTCAGCGTGTGGCGGTAGATCAAGTTTATTTGTGTAGCTTACAGCCTTAATCCTTGATGATGGTAATTTCAGTCATAGGTGTGCCTTGAAAGACCACTGGTTGGAGTAGCCTATCGGGTCCAAAACACATATAGCAACATGCTATTACCGACAAAGACAAGGGAGACTGGAATGACCATTTCTGGCTTATTAGCCGTCGTCAGCCAGCCATACCCAAGCTCGAAGTGTGGAACACCCGAGCCTCGAACTCGCGACCTGTTGGTTTAGAAGTCCACGCCTCTACCCACCGGGCCACGAGCCCGTTGCCTTGTCGGTTTTCGATCGGGAATATACAGTGGTAGGGGGCGCTCACCGATCATTCATACGGGACTCACTCGTTCCGTTGTGCCTTAAGGGCTCTCTCTCTCGAGCCCAACCAGCAGCCGCACAACGGCGCATGATATATAGGCAGAATGCTATTACCGACAAATAGCAACATTTAGACGGAGAGCATTCCATCAGCCATTTTGAGCTCCACGCTGATAGAGCAAGCAAGGCAGCATGGATTTACTTCAGGCAATAAAGATTTGTAGATTTATTGAATGAATATACACATTTGAGATCGTCATCATAACTAAATGATTGAGAATAGTTCACTGCCACCGAGATATCATTTATGTAGAACAGGAACAAAAGAGGACCTAAAAAGGTACCTTGTAGGATATCACTTACAACAGGGATCTCATTGGAAGATGAAGATACCACTAAAACCTGTTGTGTTTTAACAGGATTAAATGCAGGATGTAGTGAAGGGAGTTAAACCATGCACAGAGAGACCAGTTGTGAGGTAGAGGAAACGGGAGCGTCGGAAGTCAACAAGGAGATCGAACTCGGCTAGAATGTCCGAGCCGAGAGTTGCATAGTGGACATCAGCAATCACAAAGATCCAGAAGGAAGACCAGCGAAAGCCAATGCTTAGGATGAGAGACAAACTGCCAAAAGTGGGGATGGGGAACAGTTGGCAGTTTGGAGAGGAAGACCAGGGTTGAGGAAACGACGGTCGGTTGGTGTTGAGGGGACCACGTTGATTTGGGCTCCGGTGTCCACAAGGAAACCTCTGTGAGTCATAATGTGGCATATGAAAATGTGCGACCAGGGCTTAAAGAGCAAGAAAAAACGGTCGCGTTGATTATTTGGCTGACTGCACCCCCCCCCCCTGCTTAGACTTAAAGGAGCGGGGCGAGGAACACCCATGGATCTCGGCGCCGGTATTTGTATGATGTCGACATATATCGACGGTTAGAGATT